TATAATTACTGATGATTTACCAGCTGTGCTAAACCTCCAGCCCAACATAGACTAATATAATTCCGTTCAAAGCAGATAATCTGGATTTTATATGGCAGTGTTGATGGTGCTTCAGAGGTGGATTTGCCAGCTCCCTCTCTAAACTACAGCCAATAGCATCTGGGGCCCCTTCCACACAGCCCTATATTCCAGAATATCAAGGCAGAAAATCCCACAATATCTGCTTTGAACTGGGTTATCTGAGTCCACACTCAGATAATGTGGGGTTTTCTGCCTCAATATTCTGGAATATAGGGTATTGTGGAAGAGCCCTGGGATTCATTAATGGTCTCCCATCTAAGTACTAACTAGATCTGGCCCACCTTAGTTCCGAAATCAGACAGGATCAGGTGCCTTTAGGATTAATGCAGTGCCATAATCAATACTTTCTCTTTTTATATGTTGGCTTAACAGAACTACTTAAAGATTTAGCAGTGAAGACACTCTCTACATCACATATGTTAAACTCAAGGCCTACAGGCCAAATCCGGCCTATCATTTGATTTATGTGGCCCTCCAGATGCTGGTCTACAACTCCTGTATTCCTCATTAGACATAATGCATCAAACTGGATTATATGAATCACCACTGCCAGATAATATGGGATAAATAGCAAACCTAGGATCAGATCCTGGGATATAGGGCCTGTTTGGAAGGGCCCTTAGATACAAGGCTTGTGCATATGAGGTCTGACTTTAATATGTCCTTTAATCTTTCCCTAACCTCAGAGTCACAAGTGCTCTTGGGTTGCAACTCCCATTATCCCCAGTCTGCATGGCGGGTCATCAAAAGTGATGGGAGTTGTCATTCAGTAACATCTGGGGGCCTAAAACTAAAGACCACTATGTAAAAAATATGTATAGTTTGGCCTCTGTATCTATAGATTCTCTGTCCATGGATCCAATGGCCCTTTGAAGGCAACCATGAGGCCATTGAAAATAAGTTTGACACTCCTGCTTTACACAGTCACACTACTTTGATGCCACTTTAACTCCAGTGGCTGCATCCTACAGAATTACAGGATTTTTAGTTTTCTGGGGTATTTAGAATTCTCTGCTGGAATGCTCCAGGCTTAGGAGATTACAAATCCCAGTTTTCCATAGAATGCATATTGTGGTATCAAAGTGCTGAAAACAGAAAGAAAATCTGGGAGTCTGGTACCATATGTGATAGCTGCTGCAAGAATTGCATATGCTCAGAGATGGAAGGAACCAGTTATCCTAACACTAGAGGAATGGCTGATTAAGATTGTGTTGTGTTTTGACAGTTTTATACATCTGAAATGTTTGTTCCTGTAACCTTTTTATCTCTTGAATAAAATTATTTTAAAAAGAAAAATAATTGCATTCATTTTACAATGTAGAAGCACAATGTAGATGCTTACTTCTTGGGAGGAGAGCAATGTCCAGTCTCGATAAAATAGTAAGAGTAGAGACATCAGACTGGCAACAAAGATCCGCCTAGTCAAAGCCATGGTATTCCCTGTAGTAACCTACGGATGTGAGAGTGGACCTTAGGGAAGGCTGAGCGAAGGAAGATCGATGCTTTTGAGCTGTGGTGTTGGAGGAAAGTTCTGAGAGTGCCTTGGACTGCGAGAAGATCCAACCAGTCCATCCTCCAGGAAATAAAGCCCGACTGCTCACTGGAGGGAAGGATACTAGAGACAAAGTTGAAGTACTTTGGCCACATCATGAGGAGACAGGAAAGCCTAGAGAAGACAATTATGCTGGGGAAAGTGGAAGGCAAAAGGGAGAGGGGCCGACCAAGGGCAAGATGGATGGATGGCATCCTTGAAGTGACTGGACTGACCTTGAGGGAGCTGGGGGTGGTAACGGCCGACAGGGAGCTCTGGCGTGGGCTGGTCCATGAGGTCATGAAGAGTCGGAGACGACTGAACGAATGAACAACAAAGAAGCACCCTCAGTCTCCTTCAGTTACCAAAAAAGTAATAATTGTAGGAAAGCATAAAAGCTTACACATCTTTAATGTAGGATGAGCTTTTGTGAATTCTAACCCACTTCATCAGATGCAAGTGGTTTGACCCAGAATGTAAGGCATGTACACAGTACTTGTACATATGATGTAGGTAGTGGCTTTGGACAATGATTAAACATTATAAAGAAAGTGGTGACAGTGACAATTACATTATTAACATAGCTGGTCACAAAATGATTCTTGATAACCCATATACTTTAGTTGTAGGTAAGTCATGTAATGCATAAAGAGTCATAAGTAACCTTTACCTTATTCAAACCTCCAGTGGGAGCCTAATGAATTTAATTCCTAATAAATGGCAGCTAGTCAGCTATCTTTCATTCTGATCTCAGTTTCATCTGTCTTTATTCCAGAATGGCTGCATTAATGTCATTGGAAGGGCAAAACATCCTGGCTTGCTCTTTAATGCCCTTATACTCAACAATCAGGGTTTCCACATTGTAGCACTTTCATATCTTCTGTATGTCTAGCTAATAACTGTTACAAGCAGGAGCAGTTAAAAACTCTCTCTCTGTATCTTCCTTTAAGTTGACTGTCAATTTATGGTGACTCCGTGGATTTGATAGTTTTCTTAGGGAAGGAGTACTCAGGTGGGTTTGCTAGTTCTTTGCTGCAAAATATAGCCTACAACATCTAGTATTCAACCTCCCATCCAAGTACAAACCAGAACATACTGCTTTTAGCTGACAATCCTAAAATTGCCTGATGTAAACTCATAGAACCAAGGCCAGTCTATTATCTTCCAAAAGAGCATACTACTCCAATTCATCACAGTGGCATGCAAATATACAGTGAAATCAAGAAACAGAAAGATGTGTTTAGGTTATCTGTAGATTGTTTTAGAGATTGTGTGGCACCATGAAACTATGCAAATAAGGACCTTTGGTTTTAAACACAGACGAAGTTCTCCTTTCTTGCACATTCCTTCCTCTTTCTCTGATCTGATTGTTCATGTGCATAATTGTCTGCCTACACTTATTGTGTTATTTTCAACCCCTTCCCCCAGAACATTTAAAAATAGTTCAGTATCTAGATGGATTGGATACAGACATGGGTGCAAGTGAAGCCACTAAAATCAAAAGGAGTAAATGTTCCTAATTGCGTACTACATGCTTGAGGTGAAACAATCTGCAACATAGAAAGAAATGCAGTTGACACCATGTTCACTGCAATGGCTCAATATTAAGGAATCCTGGGAGTCTTATTTTGGTGAGGCACCAGCACTCCTTGGCTTAGATTGGTTCCCAGATGTTTTGGCCTTCAACTCCCAGAAATTCTACCAGCTGGTAAACTGACTGAGATTTGTAGGCCAAAACATCTGGGGACCTACAGGTTAAAAACCTTGTAAAACTACAACTCCCAGGATTCAATAGCATTGAGCCGGGGCAGTTGAAGTGATGTCAAGCTGCATTCATTCTGCAGTGTAGGTGCACCCTTTTCCTTCATTTGTCAGGTCATTTTGCCCTGCTGCATGGCATATGTTTTGTCTGATGGTATCTGTGTTTTTGCAATGAGGCTTGTTTTCTGCTGCCATGTTTCTTTAGAGAAGTACAAGTTGTTCACTCATCTTGATATAGGCAAAATGTGTGCAGATTTGGAGTTTTGCTTGTAGAGGACTTTGTTAGATAACATAGGATAAGGGATGATAAGGGAGGAGTGTATATGTATGCATATGTCTATTATTTCTTGCTACAATCATGTGTGGCAAGGAGTTAGGATGTTAGAAACTAGAATACACACCACACTACAATGTTTAAGGCTGGTGAGAGCTGGCACTGCTTCCTAAATTTAACAACAGACATTGGGTGCATCTGCACTGTAGAATGAGCACAGTTTGATTCCACTTTAACTGCCATATCTCAGTGCCATGGAATTCTGGAATGAGACACCAACACTTGTTGGCAGGAAAAGCTAAATATACCTTGTAAAATGACAGCTCCTATGATATGATAGCATTCAGCCATGTCAATAAAAGTGGTGTTAAACCACATTAATTCTACATTGTAGCTGCACCCCTAGAGATTATTAGAAAAGTGTTATCTCAAGTAAAAAACATGGCCCTTTTTACAGTAGAATCTTGCTTATCGAGTCTTTGCTCACCCAAAGTTCTATGTTATCCAACACAGTCTCCTTCCTGCCCAGATCCACAGCTGTTTCAAGACATTATGATGTTTTGGTGCTAAATTCATAAATACAGTAATTACTGTATAACTTTACCATAAATACAGTAATTACTATATAACGTTACCGTGTATTTAACTGATTTTTCCATTGATTTATTGTAAAACATGTTTTGGTGCTTAATTTATAAAATCATAAAGTACGGTATTATGATGTTTAATAGGCTTTTCCTTAATCTCTCCTTATTATCCAACATTTTCACTGATACAACGTTCTGCCAGCCCATATATGTTGGATGAGACTGTACTGTCTTTGCAGTTTTCTCCATATTTGTTGGGGTCTTGCACCCTTAATCCCAGTAAATGTGGATGGACTTCAAAAGCAGCTTCCAATCCAGATCGCTCGCTTTCTTTTGTTGTTCTTGGGTGTCAAAGCTGAGAACAAAAGATCAAAACAGCTTCAGCAACTCAGGCCTGTTCTCCACCAACACAGAGAACTGGTCTTACGGCACTGCATGGAAGAAGCACTACCAGTTTTCCAGAATTGTGACATTCTCCCATTTGCATTGCCAGCTCTTTATCAGCACTAGCATTTTCAACATCAACCTGTTCACATTACAAATTGTGGCACTCTCCCAGTATACAGCGAGAATGTGTACCCTGTGCAACATGATTGGGTACAAAGAGTTTTTGGGGAGGTACTAGCTGCTAAAATAGATGGGCATTTCCCAGATGAATGGGACATCTTCACTGTGGAATGAATGCAGTTTGACACCACTTGAACCACTCTGGCACAATACTGTGGGATCCTGGGGTTTGTAGCTTAATGAGTCATCTGCACCGTTTGGCAGAGAAAGTTAAAGACTTTGTGAAACTACAACTCCCAGGGTTCTATAGCATTGAGTCAGGACAATTAAAATCGTGTGGAAGTACATTAATTCCACAGTGTAGATGCACACTATGGGAGAAAGAGGGCGCCCCCGGGCAAGGCAGGGCTGCCTTTCCCCTTTATATAAGGGCTTCATGGCCACTTCCCACTCTCAGAGGCAGCTGACAAGGAACTGCAGTCATATGATTTCCAGCCAGGAAAACAGGGCTAGGATTTTGCAAAGATGTTGCCAAGACCGTGTCCGATTCTGCTGCTCTCTCTGCTGACTCTGAGTTCAGGTAAGTCTCAATGGGAACCAGACTTTCCAAAAGCATGGGTTTCCTTCTCAAGCTGTTAAGAGAGGGAACGCCAATTCAAATGCAGTTCAGCTGATATGAGCCTCATTTCTAACTAGGGTCCACCAATATAGATAACACTATGTAACATCATTTGTTCCTGGTTTGAAAGTGTTATTTCCTGTTTCATTGTGTGGTACTTACTTTGAAAGTAGATGTTATACTCCAGGAAATTCGTTTTTGTGGCTGCCACAAACTATGTTGGAGTGGTTGAGACTCCATGAGATATTCCTTGAAAAACTATAGCAAAATGTGCTGCAGGATGTCCTGCAAAAACAAAGTTTTTGCAATTTTAATAAACTTTTCTTATGTTTTTCTGATTAAGCCAATTAGGAAATGACATTAATAACCCAGGAACAAAAATTCATGTTATGTAGTGTACTTTTTGAATCAACTGGCTCAATCTGCTTCTGTATAGAAGCTGTTCCTTCTGCCTTTGGGTGCATCTACACTGTAGAATTAATGCAGTTTGATGCCACTTTAACTTGCCATGGCTCAGTGCTATGGGATCATGAGAGCTGTAGTTTAGTGAGGCACCAGACACCTTTATAAGAGAAGGCTAAAGACCTTGGAAAACTGTAACTGAAAACTGCATTGATTCTTGTGAATCCCTTCACATTTCTAAACTCCTATTCAACTGAATGCATTTGTTAAACGCCCTGCATGAAGTTCCCCTTTTCTTGAACTCACTTCTCCCTTAATGTTTGGGGATGAGACTGGTGATGATAAATTTATTTTTGACGTGTTGTCGAAATTTTTCATGACCAGAATCACTGGGTTGTTGTGAGTTTTCTGGACTGTGTGGCCATGCTCCAGAAACATTCTTGCCTGACATTTCGCCCGCATCTATGGCAGGCTTCCTCAGAGGTTGTGAGGTTATTTCTGGCAAGTTGTATTTTTGGCAAGTTGTGACTTGTCCCATCACAACAGAGGTAGAACCATCCTTATGTACACACTGCTTTCAAAAATGGGAGAGTGGCACCTTTCTTCATATCAGTTCCTCCTCCCACTGTACCCTAAAAGCGACCCCAGTTTGCTGGCATACTAAAGCAGAACAGCTGCCCATGGGATACCTACTTTGACTCTGAGTAAAGAGCTGTGAATTCTCAATAGGTAAGGAGGACTGCAGTGTTCAGTCATTTGGTGGGCTGTTTGAGCAGTCAAATATTGGTTTGTTGTGTGCTTTCATGTTGTTTCTGACTTATGGCAACCCTAAGGCAACCCTGTCTCTGGTATTTTCTTGGCAAGATTTGTTTTTTGAGGCTGAGAAAGTGGGACATGCACCCAGTGGGTTTGCATAGCTGACTGTAGATTCGAACCCTGGTCTCCAAAGTCACAGTTTAGCACTCAGAAGTTCATCACCACCTTGGATGTCAATCAGAATTATATCTTCAGTCAAGGCCATTAAGTGTTAATCAAGGTGGCCAATTGCAACATTCACACTTGCCTCAAGCAGCCAAGAGTTCTTTCTCTCACCCTGGACACTCCACAGATATATAAACCCCACTTGCCTAGTTTTCAACAGACCTCACCACCTCTGAGGATGCCTACCATTGATGTAGGTGAAACATCAGGAGAGTATGCTTCTGGGACATGGCCATACTGCCTGAAAAACACACAGCAACCCAGGAATATTTTTTCTTAGATCACATTCAACACATTCAAAGAAAAAAATCTTTAGGGGTGCAAAACTGAACTCCATTTCTCTTGAAGGAGAATAGGACAAGATTTGACCTTCTAGGTCAGAGCTTTCCAAACATTTCAAATTGGTGACCCACTTGTTAGACATGCATCATTTCATGATACAGTAATGTGGTTTTACTGGCAAACCAGAGGTTAAACCAACCCTTTAGCACAGATATGAACACATACATAAATTGTAATGGTGAAATGTATAGGGACACAACTTTTCACATGGAACCCTTTCAGGTATATATCGATATATGTGATATATGATTTATTTCACATACTCAGAAGTTTCTTATTACATTTGTGCGACATACCTACACACTGTAGCTGACGCACCAATGTGTTGTGACACACAGTTTGGAAAGCTCTGCTCTAGATTCTTTTTGATGGCAACTCTCACAATCATCACCAAGGGCTGATGGGTGTTGTTTATGCCAATGATAGGTGGAGAGACATAACTGCTCACTCCTGCCTCAGAGCTGCCATTCTTCTCTGAAAAGGCAATGACTTTGATGTCGAAATGGAGTAATTACTGTCAGTAAAAATCTTTAGTTATATATTGTACCAAGGAATTTGATGTAGCAATTCAACAGGAAGTAATTGTTACCACTAAAATCTTTAGCTATCAACGTTCCCTGTTGAATTTCTGTCCAAGGATAATGTGACCAGCCAAGGAGAGGTGCCGCTTCTCTGGGAGTGGTTAATTTAAAACTATAGCTTTCCTCCTACACACGGGTGGAGAAACTGCACCAAATAGTTGCATTGCCTTCAACAGGATTGCTGTGGCATGAAGTTTTTGGAGGAGAGTACCTGGCTGGTGGAAACTTATGAAAGCTGTAGGGGAGTGGATTCATATGTTTCCTCCTTATACAGTCTGAAAACAGTGATGGTCCATAGCTTCTTCTGTATTTAGTGAAACCTTCAGTTCCATATCAAGACTTTATGCTAAGTGTATGAAACAGAAATGAATGTCAAGTTCTGACTTGGGCGCCATCATTTGTACAGATATGCAAATATAGATGGAGATGTTCAAAAACATGAATATGTTTTTGTCCCAAGTACTTTGGATAAAAGGTTCTTAACCAGTAGCAGAAGGCTGTCCCTATCCTTGACCCTTATGTATGTTTAGATAAGACCATAGCCGCCTCTTCTTGGCATCTTGCGTTCTCTAAGAAGGCAGGGTTGTAATTTCTCTGCAGTTACATCCTGCTGAAGTTAAGCTTATCTCCAAATAACAGTACTTAGGACTTGGGTGCCTCATTCTGGGTGTAGGCAGGCCAGTCTCCATAATGCCTCTGAGTGATACTATGAGACATTTTGATATAAGATAACATCTATATGAATGTACATACTCCTGGGATGGAAGCCATGTGATAGCTTTTCTTCACTGAAGGTTCAAACAGATGTTTCTTGCACATCTTTACAGAAGGTTTTGGTGATAGCAGTCTGGATGAAACATCTGGCACTAGGTTGTCATAATACTCCATCAAGTGACAGTGTATACAAGGTTGTTAAGTGGTGCTGTCTGCTCATAACATTATGTGCTTGGTTCCCAAACATTGGCGCCAGATGGTGCTGGACTTCATCTTTCAGCAGTGCCAGCCAATGGTCAGGGGGGTTGTGGGAGTTGTAATTTGGGATCAAGATGGGTTAAGGAGCTCCATTTGTGTTTTCTGACATTAGTGCTGGTGTGAACCAATGGCCAAATAAAGTAATGATGCATAAAGTATAGGGTTCCAGATGTTGATGGATTGCAGTTCCCATCATTTCTCACCACTGGCAAAGCTGCCTAGTGTCAAAGGGAGTTGTAGTCTGACAGCAGCTGGAGGGATGCACTTTCCACCTCATCAGATGGGTGGTTTGCCCATCTTAGCACACTGCCAGGATAGAGTACACTGGAGTCCATCAAATGATGCAGTGCTAATTCTTGTGGGGCTCTGTGCTGGCAGTGCGCTAAGAGGGAGTCCTGAGGAGTTGGATGACTACCCATCTTCTCATTGAAGAAGCTGGAGACAGCACAGAACTTTGTGGGTTGGCAGCCCACAACCCACAATAGTAAGGGGATGAAGCTGGATGCTACTCTACATTTCCCCCACTGTCCCTAGGCTTCTGGACTTCCATGTGATGAGGTCTGAGTCTATCTGCAATGTGAAGGAAAGCGGCACCACATTGCTTTCCTGCCTTTGAAGTGATGTTGCTTTCTCAACTAGGGACAGCAGTACTTGTTGACTTCTTGCCAGTCTCAATGCTATTAAAACAAGCCACATGCATGACAAAGGGGTGTGTGGCAATCCTATCCTTGTTGTACCATGCAATTTGCTTGCTAGCAACATTAGACTTTAATGTTACTGCCCTTGTGCCATTAAGAGAAGAGAATTAAGCAATGTGTGATTACTTATAGCTTATAACAGAAAAAGGTGCTTAGCATCTTTCTCACCTCATTTTGTTATTCCTGAAAAACACACATTTTTTACTGATTATCGTACATAATTTTATGAGCTTGTGTTTACTTATGTGCCTTCAAGTCACCTGTCAATTTATGGCGACCCCATGAATGCCATCATTTTCTTAGGCAATGAATACTCAGGTGTTTTTGCCAGTCCCTGTCATTAAAGGCACAAATACTTTGAAATAACACAAAAAAGGTTGCTGATCGCAACAATTATTACAAATCATTGGGGTCAAAACACAAACAAATACCTTTTCTACATTTAAACTTTGGGTATCCTTAGGATCAAGCCTGTGGGCCTCTCAAGATGGAGTAACCAGAACCATTGGAATAGTTAACATTTTTGTTTAACATGCTTACAAGTAAGAATACATAATTTCAAATGTTTTCCATTCCCTTAGACTGAGAAGCCTATGCATTTTGACCATTTTTACACCTCAGAGCTATTTTTGTAGATTTTACATGTAGTCATACAAAAAAAAAAATGGCAAAAAAGTGCAATTGTTTACCTTTTTCAATCTTGATGTGTTGAGACATCCTTTCTCACTGAGGACAAGAAAAAAAAAGCAAATGTTTACTTCTCTGGTTTTGGTTATACCTTATTCTAGCTTTTGCAAGGCTGACCCTAGCTTTCCAGAAATAAACCACATGTAACTGACAACTATTTGTTCAAGATTTCCCTAACTGGTACTGAAAAGAAATATTCCGTGTCAAATAAAGGTAGCTTCCAGCTGCCCTTGAAGGGAACATTCCTTTGTGCAAGAATCCTAGCTTTTTCCACACACATAAAATGGAGGTTGTTTTATCCATATTTAAAATGGCAAATGAAAGCTGAGCTTTTGTGAAGTTTGGTCTCTGATGCTTTTCCTTCTAGGTTATTTGATAAAGGAACCCAAAGAACCAAAGCAGGCCTGGGGCTATGTTCCTGTCAGAAGCAATGCAAGCATGTTCTGGTGGCTGTATTATGCCGACAACCCGACACAGAATTTCACACAGTTTCCTCTTATTATGTGGCTTCAGGTCAGTTTACATGGTATGCCTGGTGTAATTTATGGCAAAGTGATGCCAGATTGTGTTGTCAAAGGCTTTCATGGCCACAATCACTGGGTTGATGTGAGTTTTCTGTACTGTATGGCCATGTTACAGAAGCATTCTCTCCTGACGTCTTGCCCACATCTATGGCAGGCATCCACAAAAATCCACAAGCATGTGGACAACTTCAACAGAAAGGAGGAAACCATGAAAATGAACAAAACTGGCTACCAATATTTAAAAATTCTAAAATCAGGACAGTAAATAGAGAGCAACACTAAGAAAAAGCAGAAGAGAATTCCAGACAAGAATCGGTCAGGGCCAGGTAACACCTCCCAACAAAGGATCCCCCAGGCAGGAAGCAACCAGACTTTGAAACTACAAGGCCATTCAATGCTAATCAAGGTGGACAATTGCAACATTCACATTTGCCTCAAGCAGAAAAGAGTTCTTTCTCCCACCCTGGGCATTCAACAGATATATAAATCCCGCTTGCCTAGTTTCCAACAGACCTCACAACCTCTAAGGATGCCTGCCATAGATATGGGTGAAATGTTAGAAGAGAATGCTTCTGGAACATGGCCATATAGCCTGGAAAACTCATAACAACCCAGTGATATCAGATTCTTTTTTGTAGTAGCTAACTGTGTTGACAGGAATGACATTGCTATTAAGAAAAAAATGTCAAGTTTTTATTGCAGTGTTTTCCAAGCGCTGTTTTTCCAGTGATTTGGACTTCAGTACCCAGAATCTCTGATCACTGACCAAAATAGTTGGGACTATTGGGAGTTGAAGCCCAAAATGCCTAGAGGACCAGAGTTTGTGGAATTATCACTTGATAGTTTTCTCTGTTGCCCTCTTCCTGGCCTGGAAACACAGCTTCTTCATTATCAAAAGTGTGGAAATCATTACTTGATTCCAGCCAAGTGTCAAAGAGATCCAGCATCCAATGTGTAGCACTCCCTTGCCTTTTATATTTTTCTCTTATAGCACAATATTTGTTAAGCAAGGACATTGGTGAGAGGAGAGGTCAAAATAACTGCACAATTCCTTGTTAAATAGTAGTGCTGCACATATAGACAGCTTTGCCCTGCCACAATGGGTGCTGTTCAGATGTTGTTGGTCTGCAACTTCTGGGAGTCCTCACAATTCAAGGGTGAAACATTACAGTAGTGTAGTCCCAATAACACTGAGAGTGGGAGCATACTTCTCCATATTCGCTTTAGAGGATGAGCATATATATTGTAGCCTTGCAAACCAATGCTGGACTTGATTGTGTGCTCAGATTATTCCTTAGTCGCCACTTCTGGTTCCAGATAGGACTATATGCACGTAAAGTAGTTGTGACAGCCTTCCAGATATCATTGAATTGCAGTTCTTATTGACATGACTGAGGGACGTGGTTCAGAAATGTAGTAATGGGGAGATGGAGATAATTTCCATGGGCTTGATTTGGCTTTTCCTGTGTTGTTTATGAGGACTCTTCTTGCTTGAATTCAGCTGGTGAAACTTCATGTTCAGCTATGAAGAAATTAACCTGCTTGCTGCAAGGGCTCCCTTTCTGGATATAGGATAGATAGGCAAAAGGGCTAGCGGAATCATGGAAAAACAGTATGGTATGTTATTGTAGTTTTCTCTAAGGAGGATTATTTCTGGAAAAGCTACAAGTTTGCTTTGTGTCCTTTGGAGATACCTATTTCGCCCTCTTTTAAGAACACTGGCTGACTGCATCTAAGAGGTTTTGTGGAGACTATAAAAACATATTTCCTGACATGTTTTCTTCTCTTCTTTTCCCATCTGTTCTGGGTTTGTAGGGAGGCCCTGGAGCATCAGGCTGTGGATATGGGAACTTTGAAGAGATCGGCCCTTTAGATGCTGATCTAAAATCAAGAAGGACAACCTGGGTATGTATGTGCATATGAATGGAAAAGTTCACGTTTACTTCTCTGTTAAGCAGTTACCTATCTTGGTTCACATAATTAGATACTATTTATTTATTTATTTATTTATCGTGACAGAAGTGAATTGACAATACATTGAATAGAAAAACCACAAATAAAATTACCAATTTGGCATTATACTAAATTTCCTTTGACCAGAAGCTGTCCACTTCAAATGCCTCTGGTGTCGCTGTGAGAAGGTTCACCATTGTGCATGTGGCATGGCCCAGATTGCATTGCAGTAAGTGGTCTGTGGTTTGCTCTTCTCCACACTTGCATATTGTGGACTCCACTTTGTAGCCCCATTTTTTAAGATTGGCTCTGCATCTCGTGGTGCCAGAGAGCAGTCTGTTCAGTGCCTTCCAACTCGCTCAGTCTTCTGTTTGCCCAGGAGGGAGTATATCATTTGGTATCACCCATGGATTTAGGCTCCAGGTTTTAGGCTGCCACTTTTGGAGTCTCGCTTGCTGGGGTGTTCCTGCAAGTACCTCTAGCTCTTAGGAAGCTGTTTCTTGATTTAAGGCGTTCGGTTGCTGGTTGATACTTAAATTGGTAAGCAAGGTGCAGATGGGATGAGCTCTATGCTATTTAAGCTGAAGGGTTCTTCCAGATCATAATTTCTACATAATGCTTTTGTTCGCAATGTTGTTGTTTTTTTTTTTTTGTGAGTGCAGGTAGATTGATTTAAAAGACAATTTTCTTTTCCAGTTTTATTTTGCAGACTCATACACATTTTCTTTTTCCAAGTTTTTCCCCTCTGTCCCCTCTGGATACAGTCTGAAACTTTTTATACTAGTTTCCCAAGTCAGCTTGTTTTAACCCAATTTAAAACCATGGAAAAAAAACCCAAAATAAACAAACCAGGAACAAAATTTGGGACTTTACATTCAGTCCTGGTACGGCTTGTTTCTTTTTAGTCCACACATTTAGGGATCCTGATATTTTCCTCAAGCAGCCACATGTGCCACCAAAGTTGGCATGTTTAAACTTGTATCATTCCTGTGCCTTTCACATGAACTTATCAAAGAAAAATGTAGTGAGCGAAACTTTTTATAACACTTATCTCTATACTTGGGGAAAAAAAACATTAATTTTTTGCTTTTCTGGTTTTTGCCAATTCAAAGATCACGGGTGCTATTTCACATTTATTTTTTATTTTCTTTATTTCTTTATTTTTCTCTTTTATGGAAGCTTATTAAATCCCGGGATCTTATTACTGGATACATGGGAGTAAGAACTTGGAAAAATCTTTGGGAGTATAGTTCTCAAAGTCATGCAGCCACCATAGCCATGGAATGGGCTGACTGAGCAGTTCGGGGAGCTGCTCACCAAAAAAGTCTGAAACTTAATGTAGAAAAAGTGCATATTGTGAGCATTCATCTTAATTTTCCTTCTACTTATGCTTCAACTGTACACTGTAAACCAGTGCCTAAAAAGTAAGATTAATCCACTTACAAAACAGCAACACTGTTGTCGAAGGCTTTCATGGCCGGAATCACTGGGTTGTTGTAGGTTTTTTCGGGCTATATGGCCATGGTCTAGAGGCATTCTCTCCTGACGTTTCACCTGCATCTATGGCAAGCATCCTCACTACCTCTGAGGATGCTTGCCATAGATGCAGGCGAAACGTCAGGAGAGAATGCCTCTAGACCATGGCCATATAGCCCAAAAAAACCTACAACAACCCAGCAACACTGGGTTTTTTTTAACCTCATAAGGTAAAAGCCACAGAAATGAAAACCAACAAGTATCCACTACAATTCCCCATATCCTCAGGGGTTATATTCCAAGATCCCCCTTGGATACCAGAAACCATGGGTAATAGTGAACTCTATATTTTTATTGTACTTGGACTGAAATCTCACTCAATGACTCAGAGAGGCCCACAAAAATTTCTCGGGGAAATATATATTTGGCTGTGTGTGTGAAACTGTGGATATTGAATCCACGGATAAGACGGTCATATTATGTATGGTTTCTTTTCACTGTCTGCATTAGGAACCGTGGTGATGCAATGGGTTAAACCCTTGTGCCGGCTGAATTGCTGACCTTCAGGTCAGCAGTTCGAATCCATGAGATGGGGTGAGCTCCCATTTTAGCTCTAGCTTCCCATGCAGAGACATGAGGGAAGCCTCCCACAGAATGGTAACACATCCAGGTGTCCCCTGGGCAAAGTCTCTGCAGCCAATTCTCTCACACCAGATGCAACTTACAGTTTCTCAAGTTGCTTCTGACATGATTAAAAAACCCTCATTGCATTGCCATGTTTGCCTGTGTTGCTAAAACCTCACTTAACTACTGCTGACACAACTGAAGGTTTTCTCTGCTTTCTTTTGGTGGCACAGCTGCAGGCAGCAAGTGTCCTTTTTGTCGATAACCCTGTTGGCACCGGATACAGTTATGTGAATGACACCCTTGCCTATGCCACAGATCTGTGCACTGTCTCTTCAGATATGATGGTAGTTCTCAGAGAGTTCTTCAAGTCTAAGACAGAATTCCAGGTAAGGATGTTTGGTGGCTTGCTTTCCCTTGGCAGAACCCCTTCAAAGTTTTTGTAGCTATTGCTTCTATGAAACCAGCTGGGAACCCATTGAGGCAACAGAGAACATTTCCAGAATAAAATATGTTTCTGGAATAAAATTATTTTATAATAAAATAATTATTAAAGTATTATTTTATGTGTTTTATTTATTTATTTACCCAGAGCCTTAGTCTGTCCTACACATCTGGTTTTACTGGATGTTTCTAAACTTTGCTTGTTTGCTTTTGTTGTGGTGTAATGCACCACAAAAAAATGTTTATTTATATCTGGAGCATTAATGAAGTGTACAAAACTCAAAGCCTAAACTGTTATTGTGTGACTTCTCTTGTAGCAAATCCCTTTCTACATCTTCTCAGAATCTTATGGAGGAAAAATGGCAGCTGCTATTGCTTTGGAGCTTCACAAGGTAAAGCAAATCCTTTCTTGCTAAAATGGATATAGATTCTTTGTCGGTAGTGGACCTATTTGGATGTATCTTCAGCAACAATCTATGGGTGCAGGTAGTGATACAAATCTAACACATGAATTCCTCATTTGTGATTTGGGTCAGCATTGGACCAGGACTTGGAAGACTGAGGTTCCTTCTACACTGCCATATAATCCAGATTACCAAAGCAGATAATCCACTTTATCTGCTTTGAACTGGATTATATGAGTTATTCTGTCGTATAATCCAGTTTAAATCAGATAATATGGCATATATATGGCAGTTTACAAGGGGCCTGAGATTCATGGAGCTGTGAAACTCAATAGCTAAAATCTCTGAAGTTAAAGAAAGAGAGAGGAAAGGGAGAGGAATATCTAAAGTCTTACATGTAAAACCCCTGAAGATAAAAATAAGGGAGGGAGCAAAATAAGTTGCATACTTCTTTTAGAGCAGTAGGTGTGAAAGCACTTCCTCTAGGAATTTCTTTAAAAATCTACAATTCCTTAACCTGGAACCCATTATGTGTTTTAAACTACAATTTCCACCTATCACCATCTACATAGTCAGGAGAGATAAGCCCAAAACATCTGGAGGGCACCAAGTTTGAGAAGTATGACAAAGAAATGCACACCAGTAAGGTGAATACTGAATCAGCAAGTGAGTCAGCTCATAAATTTATCATTCACCTCCCTGGCTGCTTTTTATTTTAATGATGTGCATATGCATATGTATGTGTGGTATGCATGAGTGATGGATGCTTAAATATAACACATTGGAAATTGTATTATGTCAAGTCAGTTGTTTATCTGGCCTGGTGCCTAGCATAGATATATACCTATCACAGATAGCATAGATATATGTCAATGTTCCTAGAAAATTTGACACCAGAAATAGGAATAACATGGAATTCTTAGGGGTGAGTTATGCACTACAAGGAAAGAGCAGTTCAGCATATTCAGCAAACTTTCTATCTAAAATTAACACTATGTATACGTGAAATGAAATAACCAGGCCAGGTATGCTTTGCATAAGCAAGCAAAAATATCCCCCCGCCCCCTCAGCCTCTGTTTTTCTCATGAATTCCATTTTGATGGCCAAACATGTAGATCTATTCTTCTTTAACATGCCGGGCATAGTTGGTGAGCTGTTTTCCCCTTTTCTTTCCATCTTACAGTTCATGTACATTGAGAAGGGTATACTGGAGGCAGCTGCTATTTTCTTTGCCTGTTGTAGGCAGCATACATAGCTCTGCACAAGCTTCTATTTCAATGTTTACTGTTACATACTGCAATATCATATACTGAAAGTATGTATTTCTATATCTTTCCTTCACCTTCCTCCCAATTCTCATGTTGCTTTTAAAATGCCTTTAACCTAGACAGAGGACAAGGAGAGAAGGGGGAACTAGACAGGCATTTAAATGCTTGGTTAAAAAGTAGTTGTTGTTCTTTTTCCAGAATGTTTCTACACTGTACAATTAATGCATTCTGACACAACTTTAATTGCCATGATGCATTACTATGGGATCATGGGAGTTGTAGTCTTGGAAGATCTTTATCCTGCTATGTCAAAGAGTGCTGGTGTTTCACCAAACTACAACTCTCGTGTTTCTATAGCATAGAGCTATGGCAGTTAAAATGGTGTCAAACTAATTAATTCTATGGTGTAGATACCTCTGAGGTTTTGTTTGCTTAACAAAACCTCAGAGGTTTTGTTAAGCAAGGTTTGTATGTTTGCTTTGACTATCAAGTGTTCCCACGGCCTCAGTCAAGAGCCTTTATCTGGTATCTCTCAGATCTGGTTATGCTCTGCATGAAAAGTATGTGCTAAAATTTTGTGTTGTGGTTTGAGCCTTCATCCTATTAAATAAATTAAAAGACATTGTGCCAAAATGTATATGTATGAGGTTGCTGATGACACGGCATAGGTACTTGCTAATGGGCATATTCTGCAAGACATTCAGCATCAATTGAAGACGTTTCCTGGGGTGAGGGGATGGTTATGTTCCTCTGTTTCAGAAAAAACATCAAAGAGTTGCCACAGAGCTCTCTCAGTTGATTTGGCACCAGTTAAACACTCTGTTTTTCCTTAGTTGAACTTGAACTTGAAACCACATCAACAATTGGCAGAACCAGTTCTAAGTTACTACTGGATTTAAAAAAGAAAGTACGGGGAAACATTAATATCCAATGTGATTTGGTTACAGGTTGCCCCTCCCCCCAATGGCTATCAAAATCCATAGATGCTCAATTCATATTATATAGAATGGTATAATAAATTTATGTCCCTTTTCCCCTTTTTTAATTTCACGTTGTGGGTGGTAGAATCCATGGATTGTTCTCCTGGACTTCTCAGTAGGCCTTCAATAGTGTGGACCACAGTATTCTGGGATGCCTAGCAGGAATGGGGCTTAGAGGTACTGTTTTACAGTGGTCCCAGTCCTTCCTGGAAGGTTGCTCCCAGAAGGTGTTGTTGGGGGACACCTACTTGGCCCCACAGCCTTTGTTCTTTGGGGTCCTGCAGGGTTCAGTATTGTCCTCCATGTTTGTTAACACCTACTGTACATGAAGCCATGGGGAGAGATCATCTGGAGTTTTGGAGTTCGATGCCATCTGTACACAGAAGACATTCAACTCTCCCACTCAGTTCCATCTGCTGTTAAGGTCCTGAACCGGTGCTTGGTGGCTGTGACAGTCTGGATGAGGGCAAACAAATTGAAATTGAATCCAAACAAGACAGAGGTACTCCTAATCAGTCGAAAGGCTGAACAGATCACAAGGTTACATCTTCTGTTGGACGGGGCTACACTCTCCCTGAAGATGCAGGTTTGCAGGTTGGTAGTTCTCCAGGACTCATTGTTGAGTTTGGAACCCCAGGTTTTGGTGGTGGCCAGGGGAGCATTCACACAATAAAAACTTGTGAGCCAGCTGCGCCCATATATTGGGAAGTCAAACTAGACCACAGTGGTACACACTCTTGTTACATCCTGAATAAACTACTCTAATGCACTTTATGTGAGGTTACCTTTGAAGACTGTTTGGAAACTCCGAGTAGTCCTTCAGGCGGCAGCCAGATTCCTCACTGGAGTGGGGTACAGGGAGCATACAGCTCCACTAGCTGCCAGTCAGCTACTGAGCACAATTCAAAATATTAGTTTTAGCCTATACAGCCGTAAACGGTTCTAGCCCAGCTTACCTGTCCAAATGTATCTCCCTCTATGAACCATCACAGAGATTAAGATCTTCTGGGGAGGCCCTGCTCTTGGTCCCAGCTCCTTCGCAGGCATGGTTGGTGGAGAGAAGAGACAGGGCCTTTTCAGTGGTGGCCCCTTGGCTATGGAACTCCATCCCCAGTGATATTCGATCAGCTTCATCCCTCCTAGCCTTCAGAAAGAAAGTAAAAATATGGCTATGGGACCAAGCTTTTTGAGAATAACTGCAATGCAATAAATGAATGAAAAATCAACTGAAATGGCTCTGGATTATGGCCATTGACAATATCATCAAATTGGCTTGGCTACACATAAAATGTATGTATTTCTGTTCTGCGCTGCCTTAAACCACCTGGACATGAACTCATATTCTTTCTCTGTCTCTATTTCATTTTCCCTCAAGGCTATTCAAGCTGGAACAATAAAATGCAATTTTCTTGGAGTTGGCCTGGGTGATTCGTGGATTTCTCCTCTAGGTATGTTTACAGAAGTCTTGTGGGAACCGGAATGAGATTTCTTCCAATTAAAGATGGGCAGTTTAAACAGATTCTGGTGGATTTTGCCCAGTGTCCAGTTCTACTGTTTCTTGCATCCTTAATGTTCTTAATTTTTGTACCCTTTAGATTCTGTGCTTTCCTGGGGGCCTTATCTTTACAGCACGGTAAGTATTTACTACATCATTGGTATGTGCCACTGTATCTTTTCTTTTCTCACCTTTGCATTTCGTGAGAATTGTTGGATTAGAACAGATCTAATCTAGAACTCTTGTCTTCCAAAGGCAAACGGCCAGATGTTGTTTTTTTTTTTGGGGGGGGGGAAACACTGCCCCCTTGTTTGTTCCCAGCATCTGCTTGGATTATACCCAAAATATCCGCCATATGATGCAATAAATATTTATTGAGTGTAGCCAGAAGCTAATGTATTTACAGTACACATGAGGGGGGAAAATCAAACACAGGCCTCATACAATTAAGCCTCTGCTTTACATTTAGTTTACAATGGATAACTGAAATACATTCCACAGTAGTTACTTCCAATAATTTCTCATTGTCTATTTATCCAAATAAATGAGTAGTATTTCCAACTTGGTGACAATTCATTTAATATGCTTACATAAATATTCTCGGATGGTGTTGCAAATAAGTCAACATGGTAAGATACTCATTTATCTGCATCAGAAAGTAGTTGTATATTAGAGACTATACTGGTTCCTGTTTTTGTTTTGTTTTGTTTTTTTGTGTGTCTGTGCCACAGTCTTTGCTTGATGACAAAGGTTTGAAGGAAGTGACTACTGCTGCTAAAAAAATCCTGGATGCTGTGAACAAAAAGCAATTCAAATTGGCTACGTTGCTTTGGAGTAAGGCAGAGGATATCATTGAAGAGGTAAGGTGACTGTTTTGCAGGGAATTCAATGAGCATATTGGTTAGGGGAGAGAATGAAGATACGTTTTTTTCACATCTTGATGACACCTTCACTTACTTTAATAGAACAAAGCCAGGCAGCTTTTCCCCGACCATCTCGGAAAGCCTCAAGGACTCCAGCCCAACCAGATTTTTTGGAAAATCAGAAAACTTTTAAAAAACTAAAAGTACCTCTCATGATCCCTAGGGAAGGGGGTTTCCACCAGAGCTTTCCAAACTGTGTTGCAATAGTAGGTCTGTTGCTGTGTGTAGGTGTGTCATGTGAATGTAATGAGAAATCTCTAAGCCTATGTGAAATAAGCAATAGATCATATATATTTGAAAATATATAATTGAAAGGTTTTCATGAGATATGTTGTCTCCATGCATTTTCTTATTACGGCTTTTGTGGCCATATAAAGGGTTGCCAACATTTTTTTTGACCAGGGACCACTCTCCAACATTAGTACCAAAAGGGTTACAAATTAGTTTTTGTTCAACTTTAGATTTGGTTTTGTTATTTGGGGTGCTGATTTAGAAAATTGCATTGGATAGACCACATCACCTCTAGTTTCTGATATAGAGCATATGCCATCCAGTAGTCGTCATCTGCTTGCATACAGAAAACCATATTTAATCATCTAGAGGTGATGTAGTAGTAGCAATCTTTAATGGGTAGTCCGCCGCTCCCCTTATAACATCCTCGTTGCCTCAGCACTGTAAGAGCGCTTCGCAAGACCAGTTGCTCTCATTACTGCATGGTTTCGAGGCACAGTGTAGTAATGATGAAGCCGCAGATCATATTTCATTCCTGCAGTCCACTTTCATGCTTGTGGTCCACAGACCACAGGTTGGGAGCCACAGGTTTAATCTCTGGTTTGCTAGTAAAACTTAATTACTGTGTTGCAAAATGATGCATGTCTGAAAATGAGTCACCAACATGAAACCTTTGGAAAGCTCTGGTTTATACAATTTTAAATGCACGTCTTGATAATAAAACAGCCCATGCGCCCTCCAGTGGTAAACACCATCATTTTCTGTGTGGGAGTTTCATTGTTGGTGTAGCTTTTTGAGGTCCTGCCTGTCAGTAGTGGAGAAGCAGAGAGGATTTGTCTGCCCAGATTCAGTTGGCTAGCAATAGGCAGAGCAAAGACTGGATACAAGGCTGTTGTGCCTTTTTATCATTTGTGTAGAAGATGACATTTTGACTTGTTACACCAAAGCAGGAAAAAGTGCATCTAATTCAGTGGCATCTTCTGCCCCAAGGTTAAAGAAACAGGAATCCTTTTCTTCTTTATGTCTTGTAGTCATTGTACTGAATTGTATGTAGCGTGAAAGTTTGTGTGGAAGGGGGTCATGCAGAGATGCAACCATGCCTTCTGATGAGATGTAATTATTCTGGCTGTTCTCACTGTGTTTCCTCTTCTTATTTTTTTTAGAACACAAATGGTGTGAATTTCTATAACATTCTTACTCATGAAACTCCTTCAAAGGTGGCTGTGGCATCTTCAGGAAGTGAAATGTTCCCCTTCTGTAAGTTCAGAGAGAAAGGGAAGTAGAGAGTTTGCTCTGTGGGAAATAACCTTTTAAAAATATTGATTTCCTTACTGCTAGAAATCTGTTTGTATTGGAGATTTTATTTGGAAGATTGAGGCCAACCCTACTCTATAGATCTTAAATTGATTTAGCACTTATCTCTTCTTGGGAACTATAATTTTTGAAGAATCTGGGATCTACACCCTTATATTTTGTTTTAATCGGTTATTTTATTTCACACATTCATGTAACATTTCCCACAATCACAATAATAAACACAATAAGGATTCCAATTTTTTTCAAATATAAAAAGTAAATACAACAATGAAGTAATTATTTCTGTAACTGGCTGGCTCAGGTTGCAGGAAAAGTAGGTGTAATGATGGTCACTCGTAAATGGGGGCCTAAAGATTATAGGTGCTCAGCCCAATGGGACTAGGAATTGAATCTTATTATTTAACCATGGATTTTCCTAATGAAAAATCATAAATAAGGATTCATAAAAAAGCTGGAAGGATTTGCAAAGGCTATGTAGTCCAACCCGCTCCAGTGCAAGAATACACAACTAGAGATGCCCAACCAAGCTTTGTTTAAAGACTTCTAAAGAAGGAGAAGCTATCACCCTGCATGGCACTGTTGAACAGGTCTTACAATGAATAAGCTTCTTCTCAATGTTGAGGTATAATCTCCTTTCTTGTACCTTGAATCCATTGGTTTGTGTTGTGTTTGTAGAACAGCTGAAAACAAGTTTGCTTCATCTTCTATATGACATCATTTCACATATTTAAAGATATCCCATCTCAGTCTTCTCTTTTCCAAGCTAAACACACCCAGTTCCCTCAGTTGTTCCTCACTAAGCCAGGTTTCCAGATCTTTGGGCTCTTCCACACAGCCGTATAATGCAGAATATCAAAGCAGAAAATCCCACAATATCTCCTTCTTAACCCCCGGGGAGGGGGGATGACTCAGAGCGGCTAACACAGGCAATAATTTGATGCCACAATATCAATAAATAACAATATAAAACCATAAATACATAACAGATTAAAAACAGTAACATTAATTATATAATCACATAGCCGTTCCAATTATAACAGTTTTATAGTCCAGTTCAATGTTCAAAGTGCCGCTGTGTCCGATAGCTGAAAGCCTGGTTCCAAAACCACGATTTTAGTTTTTTCCTAAAGGAAAGGAGGGAGGATGCTGATCTAATCTCGCTGGGGAGCGAATTCCACAAGGGGGGTCACCACCGAGAAGGCCCTGTCCTTCGTCCTCACCAGACGTGTTTGCGAGGCCAGTGGGACCAAGAGCAGGGCCTCCCCAGTAGATCTTAAACTATGAGGTGGAACATAGTTTAAGATCTACCCTCCTTCACATTGGGTGGCAATTTTTTTTGGTACAATGTCTGTGTTTTGTTCCAGAAGCTATACTGGCTTATATGAAGTAATGGTCATCAAGGAATCTTTTCTGGCGCTAAATCTTGTTTCTCATTGTGCTACCTTTTAATTTCAGTTCTACTGTAGAATATTTTATTCCTCCCTGGTTAGATGTTCTACAAAACACTTCCTAATTTGATTTCTAGGATTACCAAAGTACATCTTTTATACTGTAAACTCCTTTGAAATTTCTAAAGGAAAAGGAAACAGACTTTTAAATCAAAGATGTTCGCTCTCTGAAAAAACTATTGAATTTTTCATATTCTCTCTCTCTCTCTCTCTCTCTCTCTCAAGTAAAACTCTTCCAGCGTCATGTTCAATATCATCATAAAGACAAGTTGAGTGACTTGATGAATGGGCCCATCAGGAAAAAGCTGAAAATAATTCCAGACCATGTGAAATGGGGAGGTATGGTATTGGTTAATATCTTTAAGGCTATATCTAAAGACCATTTGGAAAGACAAACAATACTTCGTACTCTCTAGTCCGTTCAGAATGTAATGAGGTCAGTCAGTCTTTGATAGAATATGTGCCCATGTCTCATTTTTCTGCTTTGAGGGGACTGATATTCACATAATATCAGTTGTGATCAATATCAGGTAAAGTCCATCTTTTAAGAAAGCATGTGAAAGCATTCTTACTCAGTTATTTTAGTTGCTTCTAACGAGAAAAAAGATAACTACTGAAGAGTTGCAATTTTAGTCTCGGCCAGGCCTGCATAATCTCTGACCTTCCAGTTGTTTTGGCCTCCAACTCTCAGAATTCCTGACCATTGGACAAGTTGGCTGAGGCTTCTGAGAGTTGGTGGCCGAACAACTGGAGGGCCATAGGTTGTGCAGGCCTGGTCTAGGATATAAAAGGATGGTGTAATTAAATTAAGAGAGTATTTATGTATGTATGTGTGCATTTATTTATTATTTCCTGTATATCCATCCTTTTTTCCAATGTGTTTGAGTCAGGCCCACACCATTTCTTTCTTCCTCCTCCTGTACAAACTCTCACAGTCTGTGCAGTCAGGCTGAGATAGAGAGTCACTGGTTAAAGGTCAACTAGAGAGTTTTGTGACCCAGGCTGGATCTACACTGCCATATAATCCAGTTTCTGAACCCAGATTATCTGCTTTGAACTGGATTGTATTTTTTTTCAAACATTTGTACCTCAACCTTCTCAACCCCCGAAGGGGGACTCCGGGTGGCTTACAACCAGCAACAATTTGATGCCCACGCATACAAAAAATACAATACAACACGGCATTACTTAGTAGATAAAAACATAAGGTTAAAAATCCATTTAAAACATTAATATTAACCATATAGCCATATCCGAGTCCAATTGAGTGACCAACATGCTAGTTCAAAAACCTGTCCATAGTCAGTTCTCAGGAACATTGTAATTGCTGTCAAAGCCTGCTACCCAAATGCCTGACCCCAAAACCATGATTTGAAATTCTTCCTAAAAGGAAGGAGGGGTGCAGCTGATCTAATTTCACTAGGGAGTGTGTTCCACAGGCAGGGAGCCACCACTGAGAAGGCCCTGTCTCTCATCCCCACCAGATGTGTTTGCAAAGAAGGTGGGATCGAGAGCAGGGCGTCCCTGGATGATCTTACACTCCGAGGCAGGACATAGAGGGAGATACATTTGGACAAGTTAGCTGGGCAGTATAAACTCATATAATCCAGTTCAAAGCATATAATATGGATTCAGAAACTGGATTTTTATGGCAATGTAGATCCAGCCCCAGCTAAGACCAAACATGGATGTCCCCAGTACCAGTTCAGCACATTTAACCACATGGTATGGAGGGGCAGGTTGCTTTGGCCTTCCACTTGTAAAATTAGAAAGCCATTTCTGATATTTGTTCATGATGCTGCAGTTACACCCAAGTTTCAAAAGTGTCATAACACCATAAGAGCTGCAGTTACATCCAACAAGTTTGAGTGACGATGGGGAAGTATTTGATGAAGGATAGCTGTACCTTTCCTATAGCGCAGTGTTTCTCAAACTCTGCTCCTCCAGATATTTTGGACTTCAGCTCCCACAATTCCTTACAGCTGGTAAGATGGCTAGGATTTCTGGGAACTGAAGTCCAAAACACTTGGAGGAGCAGAGTTTGAGAAACACCGCTCCAGCAATACCATCACAGTTGCATGGTATAGTGGTTAGATTGTGGAACTAGGACTCCAGAAGACCAAGGTTTGAATCCGCACTCAGCTTTGGAAGCCCATTGGTTGACCTTTGTCAAAGGCATCTCTCCCCTCCCCTCAAATAAATATTGCCAAGAAAATTTACTTTAGGGTTTCAATAAATTTACTTTAGGGTTTCAATAAGTTGGAAATGACTTAAATACTTGACCCTGGTCCTCATTGTGGCATACGCTGCAGAGAATAGGAAGAGGACTCTCAGCTCTGGCATCTGATCTAGAATGTCTCTTTAAGAGAGAGGAGACTTCAGAAGCTTCAGAAATTATAGAAGGGTAGAGATTAACCATGTTTAACACTAATAGATCTGTTGGGTGCCTGAGGTAGAGCAGCAAATAGCCCAACCCCCTAATAATGTGTGACCCAAGTTACTTTGGCACATGAAGGGAACAATTCACGTGTTTTCACTGCCAACAAAAATAAAATAATGAATTTACAGCCTCAGGGAGCTGCCGCACTCTTCCTAAAGGCAGGACCACTTAGAAGGCTGATAATACAGGTTGAACATCCTTTATCTGGAGTTCAAAAATACTCTAAAATCTGAAATTGTCCACAGGGGTGATGGAAGTAGTGGAAACAGGTTGTTATCATGACCAATTAATGTTCCACTTTTTGTCATTCTTATCCAGGCCAAGCCCAAAATGTGTTTATGAATATGGCTGAAGACTTCATGAAGCATGCAATTGATATTGTGGATGAATTGCTGGAAGCCAATGTCAACGTTACTGTTTATAATGGACAGCTGGATCTCATTGTTTCTACAATAGGTAAGGCTGTTACTTCATGAGAGTGGGTCAACAATGGTAATACCGCTAGGCAGTAATAGCGTGAAATAAGAGATCACGAAGTAGAGCTCCTGTGCACTGTGCCCATGGTATGGAGATACTCAAAGAAGAAGGAATAATTTCTGACATAATCACAAGTTCATTAAAAACTGGGATTTAACTTTTGTGTGTGTTGAGGTAAGCCATTTACTACCTCAAATTTCACAGGTTTGCATATGTGGAAGATGGAACAAGTGATTGCTAGAATTCTGTGAAGTAGGGGACCCCAGGGAACAATAGCAGAAAAACGAAACAAAGGCAATAATATACCCAAATACACAGTGGCTTGAGGGAGAAATATCTAGGAGAAACAAGAAACTGATGAAAAGGGGTGCTCACAATGGAGGGGAAGAAGCCCCAAAGACTTATAGGAGAGATTTTTATTTTGTGGACAGAGTGGAAGTCTATAAATTCCCATCCACATTCTACTTGTGGTCCGTCTATGGCAGTAGTTCCTAACCTATGGTCAGTGGACTACCAGTGGTCCGCAAGAACTACAGTATGGTCCGTGGCCTCACTGTTACTACACTGTTGCAGCGAGAGCCACTGGTCTCATGAAACCCTCTTATACAGTGGTTCTCAACCTGGGGTCCCCAGATGTTTTTGGCCTTCAACTCCCAGAAATCCTAACAGCTGGTAAACTGGCTGGGATTTCTGGGAGTTGTAGGCCAAAAACATCTGGGGACCCCAGGTTGAGAACCACGGCTTTTATAGTTCCGAGGCAACAGGGATGTCAGGAGGGGAGAGGCTGACTACCCACAAAAGGCGCAACAACAATCCTCCAGACTGCTGCTTCTCCTCCTCCCTCCCCCTGAACGGAGTCGTTCCATGTGGCACCCTGGCATCTTTGTTTTTAGGCATGTTCCTGGTATTATTTGGGGTGCTGGTTTAGAAAATTGCATTGGATAGACCACATCAGCTCTAGATTATTAAATATAGTTTTCTGTGGGCGAGCAGATGGTGACTACTGGATGGAATATGTTCCGTATCAGAAACTAGAGCTGATGTGGTGTATCCAATGGAGTTTTCTGAATCAGTACCCCAAATCTAACTAAATCTAAAGTTAACCAAAAACTGATTTGTAACCTTTTTGGTACTAATGTTGGAGAGTGGTCTGTGGTCAGAGTGGTCCCTGGTCAAAAAAAGGTTGGGAACCACTGGTCTACGCTGACCATGTAATTCAGTTTCAAACTGGTAATGCAGAAAATAGTTTCAGTGTGTAGATTATTATATAGGAACTCCTGGAACCAGTTTGAGGCCAGTGACGACACGAACCAAAGAGCCCTGATATGCATTAAATGCTTCCTTTCACACATTTTCATGGGAGCTTATTGTCTGGCCACCAAAGTTTGAACCTTCAAATTGCATTAAATGGTCAATGTATTATCTGGCCTCAGTCACATGTGCATATCAGTTGCTCAGGTATGTCTTCAGTGATCATGTAATAGAAGTCCTTGAGCAATTGCAAACCACCTTTTACACATCTGCAATATTCCAACTTGGTGCCTATGACATCGTTCCTTCATTTCTGGTTGCTATCTTTAGGACCATGTTTTACACCAAAATACAGTTTAAATGTAAAACAAACATTTAGTTTTAAATTGTATGGCCGAACGTGGGGCTCACTCATTATTCCTGCTCCATATCTTTGTGATTTGATTGCAGAACTTGATTAAGCATTATTTAATTACACAATTTCTATGCCGCTTTTCTCCTTAGAAATACTTAGCATGGTTTCTGAAAGCAGAAAAACAACAGTTACTTACAAATGTAAACAAACTGGCTCACTTACTCAAATATTATAATGAATGTTCAGAATCTGCTACTCTACCAGCTGTGTTAGATTGTGCTGAGTCTGAAGCTTGGATTGTCTCGAATTCATTTGATAACGAATCTAGTCTTTTATCTACTGGTATATTGGATAACTGGCACCCAATGACACTTTTTACTTGCTTTCAGTAACGGCGCTCCATGTAGTCATGCTGGCCACATGACTTTGGAGGTTTCTATGGACAACGCTGGCTCTTTGGCTTAGAAATAGAGATGAGTGCCAATCCCCAGAGTTGGGCATGATTAGACTTAATGTCAAGAGAAACCTTTACCTTTACTCCAGTATTTTACATTGGAAGACAAACAGTATATTTGAGTAGCACAGTTACCTAGTATTTACAGGATAGTTAATACTTGGCAAGTGACCTAAAGCAATCATTATAACCTAATATTACTGGATGGTTGACAGACATAGCCTCATATTAAAATATAGCTAGCAATCAAAATTTAACTGCATCTAACAACTGCTAGTCGGTAGGAGTGAGTATTTATGATGCTATTTTCCCTTTACAGTGACCCCCTAGAATAGATGGTAAAGACAAACAAAGGTATAAGTTTTGAGATTGGACTTTAAAGTGTTGAAATGTTAAACTTTTCAATGTAATGGCTTTCAAAGCCGTTTATCATTGTTGTCCTGAACTGTGTATTGTATTTGACTTAGAGTAGATGCATTTGTTTTTACGTTGAGAAAAAGAGATGATGGATGAGGAAATGTACCTTGGGACAGAAGAGTAAATTACACAATCCACTAATGTTGTTTCAAGCCCTTTCTTTCTTCTTCTTCTTCTCTCTTATAATCCATGTATCATAATTCTGGTCTCTTCCAACTCCTTGTTTTTATGAGCCTACTGTTGAGTGTGATGCCTTGGCAGAACCGGATGCTGGTCTTTCTCTTGAGCATTTCTTTGAGAAGGGCTATCTTTTCCCCTTATACATTCAGGCCAAGAAGCCTGGCTCCGGAAACTGAAGTGGCCCAACTTGAAAAAATTCAGTGCACAGAACTGGCAGGCATTATATACCTGCCCAGAATCCACAGACACAGCTGCTTTCCATAAGTCCTATGACAATTTAGATTTCTTCTGGATCCTGAAGGCTGGGCACATGGTAAGTGGACTTCTTTGGCTTTCATGCGAAAAGTCAGTGTTTTAAAAAAAAACTTAATTTTTTTGAATTCTTCTGTTGCAACTACTTTGAAAGTAGTTGCTATACTCCAGAAACTTTATTTTTGAAGCTGCCACAAATAATGAATTGGTTGAGACTCTTATCAGATAATCCTTGAAAAACTATAGCAAAATTTGCAGCAGGATATCCTGCTAAAACAAAGTTTTTGCAGTTTAATGAACCTTTTCCATGTTTTATTATAAAACCAATTAGGAAATGACATTTATAACCCAGGGACAAAAATAGTGTTACATAGTATAATAGTATGAGAGAATTACCTGGGGCTAAGTTGAACTCCCAGCCATTGAAATCAGAGGTACGAAGAGATATATATTCTGTTGAAAATGTCTCTTCCTCCTTCTCAAAAACAGTATAAAAACACCTCCCAACAAAATATTCCCCCAGGCAGCAATCAGTCAGGCTTTGAAGCTGCAAGGCCATTAAATACTAATCAAAGTGGCCATTTTTAACATTCACACTTTCTTCAAGCATACAAGAGTGTTTTTTCTCCCACCCTGGACATTATTCCACAGATATATTAACCCCACTTGCCTAGTTTCTAACAGACCCCACAACCTCTGAGGATGCCTTCCATAGATGTGGGCGAAACATCAAGAGAGAATACTCTGGAACATGGCCATACAGCCTGGAAAACTCACAGTGACTCAGTGATTCTGGCCATGAAACCCTTTGACAACACAGTCTAGAAAAATCTTAAGTGATCTCTTTGTCATGTTGTTTTTAAATCATGATAAGCAAACACTGTAAACGATGGGAGCAAGTCTCTTGCTTTTGGGAGATGGGCTGATGTGTTTGCGCTTAATTGAGGAAGTATCTACAGCTGCTCATATTGTCTTCCTCTTTTCATGTTAGGTGCCGGCTGACCAAGGTGATATGGCACTGAAAATGATGAGGATGGTGACACGCCAAAGCCATTAACAAAACTGGAGCCAGCTGGTTTGGCTTCCCAATAAAATTACACCACACTGTTGGCGTTACCACACCCCACCCTCATTGCAAGAGGAACAATGGCTGTTTGGCATCTAATGTGTTTTTCTGTTATTTGGTACTATGCAAGGATTTTAAAGAGATGAAGATATAATTGCCTTTTATATGTGTGAAAATGTGATTCTCTGCCCTGCATCAGTTATCCTACCAACTTTCCGTGTGATAAATACTTCACTGAAGACCTGCTTTCTTTCTGTTACCTCTTTTATGACACGTGGAAAGCTTTTGATCAACGCTAGTAGAGGCAAAGTTTTTAAGCTCCAAAACTTGAGAGAGGAACAGTGGATAGGTGGTCTTTGTTAGATGATGCTGTTCACTGCAAATTACCAAAGGCACGTTTCTTTGTTAGTTATATAGTTTGTAGCACAACCGCTAAGCAAACCTCTTATGTATGTCCAGGTGAAGTGCCCCCAGGTGAATTGGTGGGTAATTTTCATTTTCTGGAGGGGAGAAGGATGAGCAACAAACCAGGGCTAATGAGGCTAATGAATTGGCAGTAACTGCGAACCACTGTAGGAATAGTTATTACATACACTTTCAAGATATATAAAGAAACATTTTCTCAACATAGTATCTCATTGTACAGCCTGTTGCTATTTGATCTAAAATAGAAGCTCCATCTTTTCACGAGATTTCCTTTCCTTAAAAGTGTTTTTATGATTACAGGCTTGTGCCCAAATAGCTGAGGTGTGCAATTTGGCCAAAAGGCATGCCATTTTGGAGTCCATTGTTGGCTGACCTCTCATTCTGTTTACTGGGAAGTTACACGAATGGGGAGGGGTGTTGCCATTTTCATTTGGCAAAAATTTGGCCCATTGGCTACAATGGGAAAATTTAAAGGCTCAACCTTCAGTCAATTATTTTAATTTTAATCATAACATTTTTAAAAAATAAGACAAGCTGCAAGAGAGGGTTCTGGGAATTCTAGTTGCTGGTTGTGTCCATTCTCAGCCAGTCAGAGCATGGACACAACCAGGCTTTTTATTGGCTGAGAAACAGAGAGAGAGAGAAACTTCAACTCCCATCATGCTCTGAGAGGAACTCAGAGACTTTTCAATGGCCTGACCCATGCAAGTGCTGCTGGGAAAATGAGTTCCTTGCAGGCCCCTCTCTGGAGGAGGAGCTTAGGAAACTTTCCAAAAAGCAATGGCAGGAAGGTGCTTCTGCCAGGGAGGGAGAAAAGAGGCAGTAGATCCCAGCCTCCGGTATATTAGACTTAACCCCTTCCTCTCCAGGAACTGATAAAATCTGGCTCCCTTAATCTGTTTTGCTGGGCTTTGCGGTTCCCTCCCCCTGTTCTGTTTTTGGATATTATATGAAACAGATGACTGAATATTTCAAATCATTTTTGTTCAAACTGATTCGGGACCAAGACTACCAAATAGTATATGCAAGAATAGTTTTGATGAGTGTCATCAGTGCTGAACACAGAACCAGCAGCGGAGAGGGAGCTCATCTTAACCTTTTCCTCTCTGGATAGTTTTTCATTCAAATGTACTTTCCTTGTAATATAAAAATGAATTCACGCTTATGAGGAAATAATAGGATTAGGTCAATGATGGTGTATGTTCTGTTGCTCACTGGGCCTGTAACAGCTGTACTTTTCTATAGGACATATACTTTAGCCCAGCGGGAAGCCAGGGGTGCCTCAGAGAGAGGTTCTCAGGGATTTTTCTGAAGTGATGGTCTTTAGAGTCTTTAATGATACAACAAAGTCTTTATTATGGAACAAAGAGCAAATCTTCAATGGCTCAAACAACACTTCAAGGCTTTCTTAGTCTAGTCCTCAATGGACTGGTACCTGACTTTGATTAACTGTACTTTCTCTGTAGGAAAAAAACCCTATTTAACCTCTCCCAGACTGTTTACTATCTATGCCTCATCGGTGTGGGTCCTACTACCGATTCCAAATGTATCTGGGTATCGAGTAGACCTACAGCCGAGGCTTGAAGATATTTCAGCTGGAATTCCATGGATCTGTAATGCTGTCCTCCCTCAGAGAATTCTTTGAAACTTCAGGGCTGTTTTTCGTCTGATTGCTGTGCGGCTGAGAGGCTGTGAGCTTTCAACCAGAGCCTTGGGACCTTTTCCCTGGAATTTCTGTTTCTGTTTCCCCGGATGTTCCTTTTCCCTGGATGCTCTTGAGAAAAGAAGCTTTTCTACGGGACGAGCTGGTCTACGTCCTATAGTTTCGCTTCCTTATGTGAGACTGCCCAAAAATGGCTCCTTTCTCTCCCAGAGCCCTGAACATGGGGCGGAACCAAAGCTTAGTTATGATGGACAGGAGGCCTGCCCTATTACTACAAACAGATAACAGAAAGAAAATGAAGTTGGAGCTCCTGGTACAGACGTACCAGCAGAGTGTACTTAAGGTTCTTCAAATGTTGTTAGCTTGTCTCTCTCATTGCAAGTCACCATTGCTTGCTGCCTTTGTATGATGACAGTTGCAATCCCACAAGTTCTGGAGGTCCACAATCTTCCATCCCTGGGTTCATCTGCATCTTTGGAATGTTTTCTAATATTGTTACTGCAATGAGATGTGAACAATGTGCAGTGAAGTTATGTAAGGACTCAGCGCCTGTACACTGAGGCCTTGTGCATATTGCTGGATTTTGAGAATATACTGGAGGCGGCCAGACTTGTGCCATTTCTAGCCCTGCATTGTCTGCTCTGTTCATCTCCATCCATAGTCTGCCATCATCTCCATCCATAGTCTCTCAGGCAGTCTCTGATCCTTTAAAAGAGCGGATGCCAGCGATTGATCCTGAAGATCCTGGGATATTTTACCTCCAACCAAATAAACTCTTATTCAGAGCATGGGAAAAGCATGTAACACAGTATTTTAATACATACTTCAATGTGAGAGAGCCTGTCTTAACTATTTTTATTTATGATAGGCAGGTTTCTAGCCCTGATGACTGAATTTGCCTGAACATGTTTGTGCAATGTTTGAATAAGAAAGGATGGTTGGTTGCCTCATTTGCCTGCCTTTGCTCATCATCCTTTATAATAACTAGGGGAAAATCAAAGTTTGTGCAATAAGATTATGCAAATATGGTCAACTCAATAAATAAATGGGTACAGGAAAGAATATACATATCTTCATTGTTTGCACCTACTAAAATAATAACTCCTATTGAGAGCAATTTTCAGAGAAATAGCTGTGTTAGTCTGTTGAAACATGAAAAGGCAAAAGGCACAGGAAAGAAGGAATCTACTATGTAAAGTGGAAAAAGAAGTATACTGACTTCCTGAAGAAAACAGTCTGCCCACAACCTCTGAGGGCCCTTCTACACTGCTGTGTAATTCAGGTTATCAAAGCAGATAATCTGGATTTTATATAGCAGTGTAGAAGGGGCCCAAGAGAAAACTGTCCTAACCATGCCACATCCTTTTACACCAACATGCAACATGAAAAATGGACTACAGACCATTAAGAAAATCTTTCTGAATGAGGATACAGTACATCTAGCCAAAAACATTATTCCACTTTTTGATCAAAATTACTTCACTTTGGGAAATAACATATACTTTCAGATCAGTCGCACCATAATAGACAAACATCTGTGTAGCTGACCTGGAACAACACTTAATAATAATAATAATAATAATAATTATTATTATTATTATTTAAAAATTTGTATCCCACCACCGTCTCACTGAATCTTTAAAAAAGGCATTACATTTTTTTTGGTGAAAGGGCCGAATAATGCCATTGATGTAAAATGGAGGGGGACAAAATGAGGGCAATGTTCCCAATAAGAAGCCTATCCCCCCATGAAATTTTCCTTCGGTCACCAAATTTCTAGCATGCCATTAATTAAAAACTTCATTTGAGCACTTAGAAACAGAGTTTAGTGATCCCAAGAAAAACAGCAGGTAAAAATGCCATGGAAGTGTTGACAAGGGAAATAATATTGTTACATGTGTAAACAGTTTTCAGTGTGGGTAATGAAGAATTCATACTGGGGAAGGCAATGGCCTTTGTTTTGCTTTATTACTCCAAAAGTAAATCGTTATACCCAGCTTCTAATGTACTGCTTCCAAATTCTAGTCTAGTCCATGTTAACATTATCATAGATGCAGCAGGAACTGTGGCTGCAGGGGATAAAAGGAACTATAATTGTGTTAACCCTTCAAATTATGGGACAGGCAAAAATTGAGAGCACAAATACAGCTATTTGCTATTACATTTTCTCATGCAAGATTTTGCACGGATATTTGATCAAGCCTAGGGTCAAATGCAGTCTACCTTTTGTGCATTTACCTTTTAAACTGCCATCATGCTGACTTTGACTTAAGGCAACCCTATGAATGAGTGATCTTCAATCACCCTGGCATCAACAGACCTTTTCAGGTTCTGCAGACTCAGGATAATGGCTATTTGATTGAGTCCATCCACCTGGAATGCCATCTTCCTCTTTTCCAGCTGCTTTCTACTTTACCAAGCATGATGGTCTTTCCTAGTGAGTTGTACCTTTACATGATACATCCAAAGTGCAACACTCAGTTTATTTATTTTGATATCCAGAGGGATTCAGGTACATTTTCTGTAGGACCCAAATACTGTATGTGGACCTCTAGCTCAAACAACAAAGCAAAAAGATTTTCATCTTAACCCACAGGGTCTATGGATTTAGCCAGTACTATTAGATATTGGCTAATGATAAAACAGCAGTAAACCATTGAGCCACTTGGTGGAGTAAGAGTACTTTAAAATTACCCTGGGAACTGAGAAGAACCTCTTGCTCAGTCAAAAAAAAGTGTGCAGATTGCTTCATGATGCTTTTTGTGCATATCAGAATGTGTGAAGACCTTCATATGGTTTGTCCTAGTAGATTATCTGCATGTAGGAAAAATGTCAGGTGCATAGCAGCTCAAAAGACTTATTGAAATGCTCATATATGACCAGATGCAACCAAGTGTGACTGAAGCTCCTCTATCACTGTCACCACCATCACTTCTATCTTCCCTGGTTTCTTTGTTATTCTGACAGTTAGAATTTACATAAATGTTTTTGGCTATCCGTTACTATCCATTTCATGGTTGTAATTATTTTAGTCATCAAATGCTAAAGCAATGGGGTAGGAAGAGATTTATTTATCACATCTCCATCCTTCTCCTCCTCAAGGGAACATAGAGTGACACTCTTGGAGTTTCCTCCCAATTAAATGCTCATAACTAGTACTACCCTGTGAGGTTAGGTCAAAGAAAAATGGCTATGCTAAGGTTGCTCTGTGAGTTTCTTACAGGTAGGGATTCAAAGCAAGATCTGCTCTGGTCTAACTGATTCTTATATTCAGTTTGCTCAATCAGAGTGGAATAAATCCGGAACTTGAAGTAAAGAGGAGAGAGTAAAGCCAAATATTCAGGAATGAAATCCAGATAGGAAAATGGAAACTACAGCTGAAAGCAACCAAGAAAGACCAGATATCAAAGCTGCAGCACCTGTTTTCATTTCAGTGCAGATGTAAGCAAAACATTTAAAGGGAAATGTTTCCCTCTTGTGATGGGAGGCACCAGCTATGTCCTACAGCTGAGAGTTCATGTCGGTCACAAATTCTGCTTTAGGGTGTTGGATGAGGTCAGAGAAAGAAGCATCCCTTGTGGAAATGTCCTTAAAATTATTTTCAAATAGGGTGCCATGCAAATCTATTGCAACATAAATAGGAGGAAGAACCAGGACAGAAAATAGGCTGAGGGCATAAAAAATATAGCTGCATCTTTAAGACTAATGTGACCTTTCATGGATATAAATCCACTTCTTTATATGAAGTCCAGACTGACATTAAAGCCCCGGGTTTTTAAGGATACTTAAACAGTTCTGGAAATGGGAGAGAATATCACGGGATTCAGAAAAAGGCAAATCATGATCTTCTCCCCTAAATTTTCAAAGGGTTGCATAAGGTGATAGAAGTAACTGAAATAAATAAATGCAGTTTTTCAGATCTTTACAGTAGCATTCATGTTGAGGACAGAAAGCAGTAGATCTGCTTACCAAAATCTAGTTTTCTTGAGTTCAAAAAGGAAGATCCCTTTTGCTATATGTTCAGTAGTAAGGATTCTTGTATGAATATACTAGCCGTCCCCTGCCACACGTTGCTGTGGCCCCAGTCTGTGTATATGTGTTGTGTGTGTGTTTGTATGTGTATATGTGTAATATATATGTGGTTTTGCGCATGCATTGTAATGTATTTTTTATTTTTTTACTTTTAAAGTCTCTTCCACTGTGTTTTTCAGGGTTAGGGTTAGGATTAGGATTAGGGTTGTTCGGGTTATTAGGGTGGTTAGGGTTAGGATGGTTAGGGTTTGAGTAAGGGTAAGGGTTGTTAGGGTTAGGGGGGTTAGGGTTGGTCTGATAGGTGTTTTGTGTCCAAATTTGGTGTCAATTCATCCAGTGTTTTTTTAGTTATGTTAATCCCACAAATGAACATTGCAATTTTATTTATATAGAAAGAAGAGGTAGTGCACCATGATGCCATTGTCTTTGTTCACACCTCTGCTAATGGATAGGAATTTGTGAATAAATTTGAATTAATCTGTTTCTCTTTTTACTGTTCTTTTATAATCTTCTTGTGTGAGGATTGTGACCTGTAAATTCCTTACTCTTTGTCCAGCTGGTTTTGGGTTATTGCCAATTCTAATGTCCATTTTGTGTCCATTTATCCTGTTTGTCCAATGTAAAGTGTATAATGGCATCTTCATTTTTTTTTACCTTTCTCTCCCATTTCCTTTCAACATTTCCTTAATAGTAAAGGAAATGCTATCTCTAAGGTGCTATCTCATGTGGTGGAATACCACAGGTCTCAGCTCAACAACCATATACCCAAGGAAACAAATAATGCCCAAGTAAATGCAATGAAGAACCCCTTTCTGATCATCCCATTCTGTCCACTTCCTCAGGTATTCAGACCTAGGAACATGGCTTCCTAACATGGCTCCCTGATCTACTGCTGTTGAATATTTGCCATGTTCCACTGCTTCCAAAATGGAAAATAATTCAGATATTCTTTCCTGTTGTGCAGCTATGGTCTAAATTGTGGGTGTAGACCAGGCATGGGCAAACTTTGGCCCTCCAGGTGTATTGGACTTCAACTCCCACAATTCCTAACAGCTGGTAGGCTGTTAGGAATTGTGGGAGTTGAAGTCCAAAACACCTAGAGGGCCAAAGTTTGCCCATGCCTGGTCTAGATTATGGGAATTAAAGCAGGAGTGGTGAATCCTTTGGCCATTAGCTATAGCTGCCCAACTAAATTCCCGTTATCCCTGACCATGGGCACTGACAACATGGAGCACCAACCTTGACATCTACTGATGAGTCACACATTCCTCATCTATGATTTGAACAATGTCAGTGGATGGAAAGGGATGTACAGGCAAAAGTGCAAACCTGTCACAATGTTGGATAGTACTTCCTCTTCTTGTTCAAAAATTCTTCCAACTCTGAATCATTTTAAATAAAAGGCCTGGAGCACAAAATGTGGTAGTTATTTCAGATCAATACGCAACCTCCTGATGATAGGCTTCATTCTGATTTAGCTCTAGTCTCCCCTTCCCCCCCCCCCTCCACACACACACTTTTCCTAAGTTCTGTTCTCTTCTGAGATGCCTCTTGACATGTTCTCTTGCTGTAATTCCTTGGGATGTCAAAAATCCTCAATTCCTAGACATCTTCTGGGCTGCTTTCCTGACCTGCCACATAAGCATTTGGTTCGTCTATGCAAAACGTTCCTCTGATGATGACTGCATATCAAGCTGCTGTTACTTTTAATATTTTTTGCAATGATCAGTTGGCAAACATAGACCCAAGCCTCTCATCCAATGCTTTCTATCT